AAGATTACGCCCATGCAAATAATGATTTGCGCGCACAACGCAGCGCGTAGGCAGTGATATCATCAAAATTTGCATGGGCGCAATCTTAATTTACGCATAAATACATGACCTCTAGGTCATTGGCTTTGTTTGAAATGGCGCACACAACTGTAAACTGGTGTATTCTCATCATTTTCTCCTCACGATTCTCGACCGTCAACATCGCTTTTCTTACTGCTCTGTACGATCCTACATATGCGAATAATAAGTAATCAGAACATTGACTTTATGAACGAACATAATATAGTATCCTTTTCGATGGGTTTTATAGCTTGGTACATTAGACCTTTATCTGCCCATGTTCATTATGTTATCTACGAAGTAGTTAATAAGTTTCCTAAACATTATAATATATAAATGTAATGACGATGGCCGGGGTCCGTCGCAGTAGATCGACAGCCCATGAGATCGATCGCAATGACAAAAGTTCCACGAGGCGGACAGCTCAAGGTTTTGAAATTAAATGTATAAAAGAAAAAGTTCCAAAAAGGTCCACAAGCTGTCACTTGCGCAACAGCCCAGGGGACCATCGGACCGAAGGAAACCCCAAATTAAACAACCACCCCCCCCCCCCCCGCAGGAAAAATAGAAAAGATGGGGAAAAATAAAACGACAGAAAGATGTTGGCAATGTGGGCTGTCTGTGTAGCGAACACTCTGAAAAGTGGTTCAAAAGCCCACAAGACCGAAATTACCGGTCTCATAGGCACTACTACTGTAGCGGTAGCGGTAGCGGTACTCCTACTCCAATTACTACTATATCTACTACACGTACTACTGCTTCTACAACTAAAAAGAAGAAAAGGGAGAAAAGGGAAGAAGAAGAAGAATGAGAAGACAAAGAAGAGAAGAAGGCGAGGAAGCAAGAATGGCATAAATAATACTACTCTCATTTCTGCTTTACTAGTCTCTACTACAAATTTTAGGTTTCACTATTAATCTGTTAGGTTGTACTAAAGTGTTGTCGAAAATATTTAGTATGATTTCATACGAAATCACGATTTGTATATTTTATAATACCATTATACACTTGACTAGCAGGACCCGCGGAAATCCGCGGGATTCTAGAGGGGGCGGGGGGTGTAAATAGATATATAGAGAATGTCTAAATTAAAACCACCAAGAACGTTATTTGCCATTCAGGCCATTAAAAAATATACATGTTTAGCGTCCCCGCCCGCTTCCTTTTTGGGGGCCGCCTTCTATTTTATTTTTTTTTGATTTTTGATTTTTTTTTTTTTTTTTTTTTTGAAAGAAAAAAAACATCGTCCCCGCCTGCTTCCTTTTTGGGGGCCGCCTCCTATTTTTTTTTTTTTTTTTTTTTTTTTTTAAAGAAAAAAACATGAAAAGCACTGCTAAAATTTATTTCTGATTTTAAAAAAGAAAAAAAAAAAAAATTGTCGGCCGCCATCTTGAAAAATAGCCCGAATGCCAGGGAAAATGTACGGAGCGGCCATTTTGAAAGAAAAAAGAAGAAAAAAAAAAGTGCCTCCTCCTTCCCATTTTTCAAAAAAACAGGACGCTATAAGCATGTTTTTTTTTTAATTTGGCCTTTTATTAAATTTAAAAAACAATCCAACTGTACCGGTAGTTATTCTTTAAGCCACTGGAACTGCGTAGTGTGGCGTACCGACTACGCAGAAATTAGGCTGCGTATTAATAGGAAAATAGTCCCTGCGTAGGTTATGCGTAGGCTTACTGTGTGGAAAGCTTTTACTGCTTAGTCGATCTGGCGTAGGGTAGCGTACTGTTGCGTAAAAAGGCGGACTTTCTGCGTAAAAAGGCGTAATTTCTGCGTCAAGTTTCTACGCCGAAAGTCACAAAAAAAATTAAACATGTTGAATTGTTTTCGTTCACCTTGCGTACCCCTTTCCGTCCCTCAGCATATAGTAACGTAGGCCAGCGTAGTTGGTACGCAACACTACGCAACTCGACGTATTGAACCCACGCCAATTAGTGACCAGCAAGTGTCACAAATAAAGTATTAAAAATATGCTCATCTGACCCTAATTAAAAGCCTAAACCCCCCTAGCTTTCGGGGGTTTATGGCCCCTTGAAACCCGTGGACCCCACGCCTATATTACATATACACTCAACTCGCTGCGATCTGATTTCTCCCCCCCCCCAACTTTGAAGAACGTAACCCCCGAGCTTTTGGGGGTTTATGGCCCCTTGAAACCCGTGGACCCCACACCTATATTATATATACACGCAACTCAGGACCCGTGGAAATCCACGGGATTCTAGAGGGGGCACAGGCAAAAAATTAAGTTTTTCATTTCGGGGGCTCCATTTCAAATTTTTGGGAAATTTTCGGGGGCTACTTTTTCAACTTTCGGGGGCTCTTTTTTCTGGGGCTACTTTTTCATTAATTCATAAAAGGATAGGCCTACACTTTGTTGAGATTTGTTTAGTAGGCTAAGGTTTCAGGCTTCCTACTTCATAATTGCCTATTTAAAAAAAAAACATTTTTCTAGTTCAATAACTAATTTTTCATGCATTGATTTGACGCAAGAACTGTAACATAATAGACCCTAGATTGTGATTATATCTGACCATTAGATCTAATTTCGATAATCATTTTTCAAAGTAAAATTTTCACAAGAAAATCAGACAGTCGTTTAAAAACGTAGACATTAGTAATACTTTTACTAATTCTAAGCTCAGGTTTCGTAAATCTATTCACGAAACTATATTGAAATCGCGGCAATAATGATGCAAACCAACAGATAACAATTTCAAAGTGTCAAATCTCTTCGACTCAAGCTTAGGTGAACTCACACACACTGCAGCGTAACTCCAGGCCGCAGGCGTCGCACGCCTACGGTGCGCGGTGCGGGTGTTGGAGCTTCCTGCAAGCTCATCGCAACTCACACACACTACACAGCAGCACTGCACTTTGTGTTGACTGAAGGCAGCTTGCGACTAAACTGTCAGTCCAATGGTTTTCTTGTGAAAACATTCCTTTAGAAAATGATAATCAAATTTTAGTATACATTGCCGTAATAATCACAAAATAAGCTTTGATTTCATACCTCCATTCACGAAAACATATACAAATCGCGGCAATAATGATGGAAATAGGTCTCTAAGTTTGGACGTGGACGGGAAGCTTCGTGTGTATCTCTGTGGCTTGTGCAGCTACTACAAAGGATATCCTATAGAAAGATGCTTTACTCGGGTAAGCCCGACCCTGTGCATAGTGCATTTAATACGCAACTTAATGTGAGTGGATGGTCATCGGTCGTGTGTCTACGGATGTCATGTTGAATATCCATGAGGTATCTCTGTCGTCACGCATATCCTGCATTATGCATGTCGCGTCTGTTTTCGCCCTGGACGTCGACACGGAGGAGGACCTCGGTCGGAGTATAGCCAATTCCACAGAGTAGACTCTCCCGCGGACGATGGCACCGGGCACGGGTACCCCGAGGGGAGGGTTCAGGAGGAGATAGCCGCACCAACTTCGGTCGGCGATCTCATTAAAAAACAATAGAATACAAAGGCTCGCCGAGACGTCGCGCCCCCCGCGGAGCCTTAGCGTATTACTTATATAGAGAAGATTAGCTTGTAACTATATGTGTACTGATAATTTTTTTGTATTTACGTGGCTACATTCACGGTAAACATACATGCATTAGAAATACATAGATATCTTATATTTTAGAGTGTTTGAGATACACAATATGGCCCGAATTCACAAAGGAGGTTTAGATTTAACCCAGGCTAAATCGCGTCATAATACGTCATAACCCCGAGCTTTAGACCATGGGTCATTATTTTGGTATTCACAAAGGAAGTTTAGATTTAACCCAGGCTAAATCGCGTCATATTACGTCATATTTTTAACCTGCTCAGAAGGGTGGTTTAAAACAGCGGACTAAATTTGACCGGAGGGTCTTGCAGAAAGCAGAACGCCGCCCTTCCATTAAGACATTAGACATGACAACGCGTCGCACAGTGGGCCAGGGCGGAACCAAAGTGCGCCAAAACTCATGTTTGGGGATTTATTTTTTATAAATCCAGAGGAAATATTTGGATTTCCTGGGATTTTCGCTTAAATTTTATTACCAACATTTTCTCTGATGTCTAAGCTTTAAGTTGATACCAGATTTGGCTGCCCGATTCTGCCCGTTATTATGTTAGAGCCGTTTTCCTTGCAACATTGCCTCGAAAAATGTGTTTATTTTGGTCCGCGGTGTCAGAACAAGTGTCACGCGCCCCCTCGCGCCGTGATTTATGACCACGAATCCTTCATGATTCAGCCGCGGACCCCGAAAACCCACATTTTTCGGGGCAATGTGGCAAGGGAAATCGGATCTAACATAATAACGGGCAAGATCGGGCAGCCAAATTTGGTATCAACTTGAAGCTTAGACATCAGAAAAAATGGTGATATTAAAATTTAAGCGGTACACCGCGGAGATTTAAACATTTCTTCTGGATTTATAAAAAACATGGATAATTAGTCAATTTTTCAGTGAATTACCCTATAATATGTCATGAAGATTGTGTTTCTATTAATTTTAACCCATTCATTCAACGAAATGAACCATCAGGAATATGTGAGAGCAATTTCATATCAATAACTTAAAAAATTCATGTTGAATTGAAAGATTTATAAAATAAGTCACTTTTGCACTAAAACTGTGAATATGGAGGATTTTGCTGTTTGAAGTAGTAAATTTATACCCTTATTGTGCATACCCGAATTAAATATTTTACTGAGGTATTCCTCTATGTATTACCTTTTAACTGGGCAAGAAAAAAATTGAAAAAAATAAATCACCCAAACTTAGTTTTGGCGCACTTTGGTTCCTCCCTGGCCCACTGTGCGACGTGTGGAGCTCCACTTGAAGCTACGTTGCTTCGAGATCCAATGAGAAGGGCAGACGGCTGGTGTTGCACGCTTGCTGTCTCAGTTCAAATCTACCATATCCAGTATGGGATATATATAGCCAGGAAACTATCTGCGAGTGCCGCCGAATGCGGTACTCGCGCGTATATGCGCCAGAGCCATACGGGCTCGGGCTGAATCACTACAATGATGACACATCAAATGCTTTTTTAGGATTGGATTGGAATTGGATGAACCATATTTCTACTTTGAGGGTAAAATGGCCATAATAAGATCTAGTGTGTGGTCTTGGGGCTATGTCATTGTTGTGAGCAAATTCGTGGTAGTTTTTATTGACACTGGCCTGGCGAAATCTTTCGGTGTTCTGATTCCTACAATGGTTGAGCGTCTGGAGTCAGATTATGCCACGATCGGATATATATGTAGCTCGCCTGCAACGCTTATGTACCTCTTATGTAAGTAAACTTGTTTTATAAACAAACTTTTGGGAGTAGTTGTAATATGTATTACTACTACTAGTAGTAATGATGATAATGATAATTAAACTTCTACCAATGATGTGATCATAATCATCCCCATGAAGTTCATCATGATAACAATAATAATGCTGATTAAGAAGACCAATAACATCATCATCGTTGGTCAACATTAACAGTATATCCATAGTACATTCTGTAGCTGTTGTTGTTGCATGGTAGTAGTAGGAGTATATTGGTTGATGTTCCTATGTTTGTTGCTTTTCTTGCTGTAGCATTTGCCTACATTATCAGTAGGGCTATAATAGTGACTTAAACTGGTTATTGCAAGCTAATATGGAAAACATGACGACGGATATTTCATTCTGATTATATAACCTGATTATATCAGGTACCCACGAATTACTTTGGTGGAGGGTGGCAAATGTAAATTGATATCTTTCCAAAGGACATTATTATATTATCTTAAAATATATATAATACATGCTCATCATCCTCCTCATCATCCTCCTCATCATCAATCGTTCTACTGGGTGGGGTTTACCTGGTCGGGTCAAGCCCGCTATCCACAAGGACCCCTGTTCATTAGGACCTTTATTGGCCGGTTTTGGCTTTTTACGTTTCTTTACGGGAATCGAGGGCTGCAAGCATTTCAAGCTTCATGATTACGCTGTACCCTCCCTTATCATGTTAAAGATGAAATTGAGTTCTGGTCATGCGATTGCATTTTGGAAGAAACGGTGTGGAATCGACCAGAAAAGGTTGATCATCTAGCATATAAGAACTTGTGTGTATTGCAAGGTTCTGGAATCATCAAAATGATAAGAAATTTGGCCAAGTCTTGGTAAAGTTACACAGAAAGATGTATATGGGACTACACGAACATGTGGTGTAAAAATCCGACCCTGGATTTTTACGATGTTACAAGACATATTTAGAATATGAAGGCATTAAATTTTGAAGAGCCATGCTTTTCAGGGAACATGTCTTATCTGATGTTCTTCCACACTTGCATAATAAGAATGATAACGCTCACAAATTATTTTCACCTCTTCCCAGAACTCAACCTTCTCTTTAATTGTAAAATGAGTAATGTTTTCCAATATATTGCCTATGTTCTATACAGTATGAGTATCATGTATTGTGCTTTGAAATTGTGCTTTTTTTTTTTTTTTTTTTGGGGGGGGGGGGGGGGGGGCTGGCAGACAAAAAAAATCCACATCACCCCACTCTTAAATGCAGGCCCCTGTACGATGTGTATCAATTTAGTGTTTCTGTGTTTCTGAGTGGTCTAGGCACCGTGCGTTACAAAATTAAAAGATCACTGCGCACGTACGCCGAGTAGCCGAGAAGCCCGTTTCAAATCGAGCAAAGCTAGTTTTAATGCAATCGAAACCGGGCTGACTAGATTAAACTTAAAAAAAGCAGAAACACGAAGTTGCAAACCATCCAGAGACTCCTAATAAATTGCGTTACTGATTAATTAATTATATCATTACAAATCTTTATCCTCAATTTCCTTATGTATAATTGATTTTCTTATAAAATTAAAGATATGGCGTATACTGAATGAACGCCATTAAACTATTACCTACAACAACAACAACATGCAGGCCCCGCTGAACGTTTTTCAAAGTAGGTGGGGGGGGGGGGGCTAAAGTATTTACGATCAGGTAGAGTGAAGTGTAAATTGGCGTGGGGTCTAGGGGCAAAGCCCCGGCAGGGGTCAAGAGTCCCCGAAAGCTCAGGGGGTATGGCATTTAATTACGGTCAGATGAGCATATTTTGATACCTAATTCATGACAATGGCTGGTCACTAATTGGCGTGGGGTCTAGGGAGCTGAGCCCCCTGAAATTCAGAGATTTGAGGCATTTTATAACGGTCATTGAGCATTCAGGGGCCCGCCTTAGGCCCCCTGGTGGGGTAGAGGGGGCGGAGCCCCCGGAAGCTGAGGGGTTTTAAGCATTTAATTACGGTCAGATGAACATATTTTGATACCTTATTCGTGACACTGGCAGGACACTAATTGGCGTGGGGTCCAGGGGGCGGAGCCCCCAGAACCTCAGGGTTTTGGGGGGCATTTTATAACGGTCAGATGAGCATATTTGTATACCTTATTCATGACACTGGCAGGTCACTAATTGGCGTGGGGTCCAGTTGCGGAGCCCCCGGAAGCTCAGGGGATTTAGGCATTTAATCACGGTCAGATGAGCATATTTTGATACCTCATTATTTTGTGACACTTGCAGGTCACTATTTTTTTTTCTTTCTTTCTATTTCTCTTTAGTATACTTTTTCAAAAAAAAGTGGGGGCGGAGCTCGAGGCCCCGGAGCCCCGTCGTTCTGCGGGCCCTGCCATGTAGGCCTCTAAATAAGCATATTTCTTGTCTGACTGTAAATTTAGGAATTTGTAATTTTCCAACAAACGCATAAAAAAGTATAATTTATTAAAAAGTGAGGAAAAATCTCGGAAAATTATGTCATTTCAGCAACAGTTGTAAATCACCGGTATCTTATTAGAAATGAACCACGTTTGAATTTAATTGTGATAAAGGCAGGTCACTATTCTTTCTTTCTCTATTTAGAAATTTGCCATTTCCCAACAAACGCATATAAAGTATAATTTACTAAAGATTGAGGAAAGATCTCGGAAAATTATGTCATTTCATCAACATTTGTAAATCACCGGTATCGAATTAGAAATAAACCACGTTTGAATTGTATTTGGGGGGTATCTCCCCCAGCCCCCCCCCCAATCAGTACGCCATTGCCCCCCCCCCCCCGATCTATACCTTGTTGGCGGCGAAAATCGCAACTAAACTGCCCTTACCTTCTTTCTCTCTTTTTTTTAAAATTGGAAATTAGTGTAAGTATTAGAAAAATCAGATATAGAATTGATGAGAAAGTTATATATTTTTTTTATTGAGATCAATACATGTAATAAGATGGGGAATCTCCAACTGGCATTTAAATGCGATGTCACACGTACTCGTAACGCATGTCACACACTCTTAGGGTAACTCCCTTTTGATTTGTGCACACAATAACTCGAAATGTCGATTTGTCTGGATTTTTAAAATAATGGAACAGATATTTATTCACAGGGGGACATACTAACAAGTAAAAGTATATCGCCCATAACAAACTACGAACACATGCCATATGTAATGTCACTCACGATGACATAGCCATAATGATATGGCTTTGCCATCATAAGTCAGAAAATTGTATTCTTTTATGGAAATGGGAAAAAGAAAGAACGATAAAAGGAAAACATGAGAAGGGAAAGAGAGAATAATTTAAAGAGAGAAGAAGATAGAGGATGGAGGGAAAGGAGAGTGACAGAGAGAGGGAGGGAGAGAAGAAAAAAAGAAAGACAAAAAAGGAAGAACATGAACCTTAAATTTACCCTTACAGATTACATTTCAGATGAGTTGGCTCGACATGTGCGGACGAAAGTACAACAATACGAAAACAGAAGTTCTATAAAATTGTCTTTAGGAGAGAAAGAGAAGTTATTTCTAAAATGAAATGAAAAGGGGCTTTGTGACTTTCAAGGAGGAACTAACAATTTCTATCGCTTGTGACGACTAATTTGAATTTCCTAATATTTTTAAAATTCAAGAACTTCCTGGGGCTCCGCCCCAAGACTGTCGGCAAAGGCTCCCCCCCTGCTCCCCATCCGTAAAGATAGATCAAAGTGGTTCCCAAGACAACCTTTTGTTGTCAAAAATTGGAGAGAGTGTGAGTTTTATGTAGTTAAAGCTTCTAACAACCACTCCGTTGGACCTTTTATTATTTACACAATGTCAATGCGTTGCTGTCGGCTGCCTCGAGCTCACTGGAGCGAAGAAAGGTAACAATGTATAGTAATAATCCCTATCCTTTTTATCCAGATGATTCTTCTACCATTCTTGACCAGAAGTGCGTTTCAAACTCAATGATGTGGGCGTCATTCCATTGAATGTTGAGTCCATTATTAAGGGCGTTTTCTGCTATACGCCGCCGAATCTGAGGGCTTTTTTGTGCTCTTTAAAAAGAACACACAATAAGGGCAGTGCAATTTAAATATCAAGGGATGGAAAAGAGTTTCTCTCTAAAAAGAAATGAAAGGGCTATTTGACTTTCAAGAGCGATAAAAACTATATAATCCATCCCTTGAAGTTCACATTGCACTGCCCCCATTATGTGCTCTTTTCGAAGAGCACAACAAGCCCTCAGATTGAACATTCCATCTCATAAAATTGTCTTTAAGAGGTAAAAAGAGGTTATTTCTAAAAGGAAATGAAAGGGCTATTTGACTTTCAAGAGCCCTTTAATTTTATTTTAGAAATAACCTCTTTTTCTCTAAAAAAAAAAAAATTCTCTCTTGAAAGTCAAATAAACTCGAGAACATCCTGGGATTCTGCTCTGCTAGGCCCCTCAGTGGATCTGCCATGTTGCAGGGATCCATTAGAAAGCACAATAAGCCCACTCAATAATTAATATATATATTCAAATGTCATAGCGATTCATCCAAATAAAAGAGTAGGGAGATAGAGAGAGATCGAGAAAGAGATGAAAAAGTTATGAGGGAGAGAAAGAGAGAGAGAGAGAGAGAGAGAGAAGGGAGGGACGTCCTGTGGAAAAAGTATGGTTGAAACAAGTTATTCATAGTTGATACCATACCACTCAAACCATTTGAACACAATAACAGATTCCGAGCAGTTACAGATATTAAACAAAAATATTGGTATTTATTTTCCAATTTGCTGTTGAATATGAGAGCTGAAATCAGCGCAGCGAGCGTGAACATACACACACATGTACACACAATTAACACCCACCGACAAAACAATTTCAGTACATTATCAAACTATCAGTACAGTACGTACGTGTAAAGGTTTAAAATACAGTCCAGGCTTTTCGCGAGCGGTTTCATTGGAATTAATCGAAAAAATTCCCCTCGCTAGCGTGTAAATAAAAAAATACGCAGACC